CCCAGGCCTGCTCCTTCCCTCCTCCTGGGCACCCGGCGGGGAGTCGAGAGCTGGACCAGGCCGGGAGGAGGCAGGCTGCGGTTGTGTGGGAGCTCCCGGGAGCCATTCTCTAACGGCGCCCTGATGCTCCTTCTCCTGGGCACCCGACTCCGCAGACAGTGAGGAGGAAATGCCACTGCCACTAGGGAGGAGGGGCAGGTCAAGGACAGGAGTGAGAAGTGGCAGGTGACCACACGAGGCTCTGGTTTAGAAGGCGAATCCAGCCTCCGAGACCAGCACCCGACACAGGGCCTCGTTCTGCCAAGGCGGAAGGTGCGCCAAGGAGAGAGGACAGGTGACAGAAAGGGCAGGAAGCAGGGGCAAGGACAGCGGCCTGACTCCAGGCAGCGAGGAGCCCGGCTGTCTGCAAGCCCTGGGAGGATGGGGGACCCCCCTCTAAATGACAGTGTGTGACGACTGCACCTCTGCATCCCACAGAACCCCAGTGTGGACAACGCGCAGGCTACCTGGGATGGCGGAGAAACCAGGCGGGGACGCACAGGGACGCGCAGGGACGCGAAGGGACGTGCAGGGACGCGCAGGGACTCCATTACCTGTCGTGAAGCTTCTCAGCAACCACAGCCTCCCGGGGCGGGGGTACATTTGAAAGGTCTTGTAGGGTGGATAGGAGTTCCCTGGGTGAACCGGGAACAAGGAGTACCCTGATCAGAGGGAACACCGGGTGCCACCCTGGGAAATGGCCAGGGGTTCAGGACCCTGCAGTGGGTGGGCCTCGGGGTGCGGATGTGCGTGTGAGCGAGGGACCTGGAAGAAGGCTGGAGAAGTGGCTAGTGCGCGTGCTGGGAAACTCCAAGCCGTCCAAAGGTAACCTGGAGCCACGCAAGGTGTTGGCAAAGGAGCAGCCCCATCAGAAGCACACTTCGGAGCAAGCGTCCTGGGTGCGAAACGGAAAATGGACTCAAGGTGAAGCTTTTTGGCAGAAAGACAAATTGAAGGGCCACCATCCTGCTCTGGAGAGAAGCAGTAAGATTCTGACTCACTGCAGGGACAAAGGGCCAGCAGAGGGGTGTGGCCAAGACTGGGGGGCTGCCGAGGGGTCTCAGGTGACCCTCAGGTGTGTGGCCCGGGTGGATGGTCACACTGCTAGCTGGGAGAAATACAGAGGGGTGTGTTTGCTTTCTGACATTTCAGTTTTGCAGTGACAGAGGGACCTTCAAGGAGAGAGGTGGGAAGCCACTGGCCGTGTGGCCCAGGAGTCGTCCACTGTGTAGCTCGTCCTTGTCGACCTGTCATTTACTTTGGCCTGTTGTCTTTTCTTGGGCCTCCAGGAATCTGGTCACATCCAGAGGAGCATAAGTGAGTCACTGGGGGAGGGCAGAAGACCCCTGGGGTGGCAAGGGAGGGTGACGGGGAATCCCCATGGAGGGCCCCTCCCCCACTGGTGAGAGCCAGGTCTGTAGGCCAAGTGACATGCCCACGCACAGGACAGAAACCTCTCCTGGTGCTGCTCACAAGGAAAACAAGATTCTGAGAGGCCAAGGGCCTCCCTACAGGGCCTCCTGCCCTCCTCTGCTAGATGGCTTCAGAAAGCACAGATCACAAGAGCCAAGACAGGGAGGGTCAGGAGAGTGGCAAGGAATCAGCCCCGACGATGACGCAAGGACAGGGAAGGGGCTGGAACCAGGGGAGGCAGGGGACATCACACCTGGGCCCCGGCAGGCTAGACCAAGGGACATGTGGCTGAGCCCTCTGGGGCCACCCTGTGAGCTCCTTCAGTGTCACAGGGGACACAGGTTGTCAGGGGCTTGCTCCTGTCTGTAGACGGCCACCCCCTCCCAGCTGCACCCACTGTCCTCTGAGAGCCAGCTCTACGTGGCCCCCCAGCAGGCCCATGGCTGCTGTGGGCAGGTAAACCTGGGGACAGAGCTCCCCTCCCGAGTGTGTCTGTGGGGGATGGGATGGGCCTCATCCAACTTGCTGCCTGACACCTCCCGGAAATTGCCAGGCTGTTTGTCCCCGTCCACAGCCAGGACCCTGATCCAGAGATAAGCTCACTTCAGGGGACACTGGCAAAGTCAAGAGGCTGCGGTGACCCAGGCTCAGGACTCAAGGACCAGACAGTGCTTCTCCAAGGGGCAGCCGCTGAGTCTCAGCCTGAAACTCGACATTCAGGACCTGCGGCCGCCCCCAGCTAAGACCAGGGAGCGGGTGCCAGCCATCTGGCCCCTTCAGAGTGACAGTGTGTGGGTGGGAGCATGGGGGCCTCCGGGGAAGGAAGGAGGAGACGGGAAGGCGGGGACCAGTCCCTCCTGGCAGCGTCTCCTTCTCCATGGCAGAGACCACGGACCGATTATTCCATCAAGTCGGATATTAGAGAATCCAACTTCATTAGCGCTTCAAGGCGCATGAAACGTTAATCATGGAACCTTGATATTCTGCAGGAGAGACTGACTCACTCTGGGAAGAAAAAAAACACACTTTCATTTTCCTTTGAGGTTAATAGAAGGCTAATTTGAAAGCATTCGGTTAATGAGAAAGCTAAAAATACCCGCAGCACCATCACGGCCGCAGTCCAGGCCCCGGTGACTGCAGCCTCCCCAGGGCAGACGCAGGCTCAGGGGGAAGGATGCGCGAGGATGGAGGGCCACGTGTGCGCCCCGGAAGAGCAGGGTGCGGCTCTCCAGAGGGGCCGGGTTGGCGGAGGCAGCGCATCAGAGGCGAGGACCTGGGAGGTGCTCTTGTCTCTCTGCACAGCGGGTGGGTTTCCCTGCCCGGGCACAGCCAGAGGACGGTCAGTAGGAAGATGCTCTCTGGGCGGAGTGGAGGACTGGTTCCCAGGTGATCACAGTAGCTCAGCAGCCAGGAGAGGCCCAGAGCTGGGGGGGCTGAGAAGGCGCGCTCTGACCCAAGTTCTGGGAGCTGTTAAGATGCAGAGAGGGTTGGGCGTCGTGACACCCGATAGCTCCGGAGGCTGAGGCAGGAGGATCTCGAGTTCAAAGCCAGCCTCAGCAATTTAGTGAGGCCCTAAACAACTTAGTGAGATCCTCTCTTAATATAAAAAAATCAGAAGTGCTGGGGCCGTGGTTCAGCGGTGAAGGGCCACAGGGCTCAACCCCCAGGACCCAGATAAAAGGAGGGAGGAAGGAAAGGCCCACACACCTGGGGGAAATGATCAGGGAGTCAGGAGGAGCATCCAGTGTTCCCGGCGTCCAGAGCCCCGGCTAATGGACGTGGGTGGGTTCAAAGCTGCCAGGCCTGGGGCTCTCTCCCAGATGTGGCCCAGACTCGGAGCTCCCGAGGGCCTCACCCGGGGGCCTCTGAGCTCACGAGATGCTGAGATTCCCTTCCTTCGCCGTCTCCAGGAAGATGGAGAAGACGGAAGGAAAAGTGGGGCACACACAGGCTCTTCCCAGGGGCGGATCCGCCATGGCCTGGTCTGGAGGTGGAGCTGGTGTGGCCAGAGGTCCCCCACCAAGGCCTAGAGGTGCAGCCCCCAGCCGGCTGAGCGCAGGGGGCACTGGCTGCCTCTCGCGGGTGCAGGTGACACTCTTACTTGTCCTGTTTCAGGACGCCAACAGCAGACGCCTGGGTGTCGGGCTGGCCTCCCCCTCCTCTGCCTCTCCCTCCTCTGCCTCCCCTCCAAACCAGATCCAGCCAGGAACGGCACGGGAGGCCCCAGGAGGCGGAAGGCACCCGGCCCAGGGAGCCTGGGGACTCCAGGGGACTCCTCTTCCCAGCCTCCAAGATTAGAAAACTCAGGCTCCTTCCTTAATCCACTCCTAGCATTTATGAAAAGCCTACTGTGTGCCAGACGCGGCCCACCAGCCCTGCTGGGGAAAGGACAGACGCAGCTCACAGAGAGACAGACACAGGCAGGTGAACCCATGTCGCCTGGATGGAGGGGCCATCACTGGGTAGAGAGCAGCTGTGAAACGGCTCGTGTGTCCCTGTCACTGCCCCTAACTACATTCTGTCCCACCTCGCCACTCCCTTAGAGACATTTGGCCAAATTATGCCCATTTCCCTCCGCGCCGGCTATCAGGGCTCTCAGTCCAGTGTTTAGTCTGGCTCCTTTGAAAACTTCTGTCTCCACCAAAGTCAAAGCTCGGCTCCCTCCCCACCCCGTCCTCAGCGGGCTGGGCTTCAGGATCGGGTGGAGGTCTGGGCCACCCTCCGCCCCTGGCCAGTGACGGGGCACCGGGAGGCCTCCGGGGACTGTCCTCTGGCAGGTGCCTCTCTAACTCTGACCAGCCCTCCCTGGTCCCACTGATAGAGTGACATTCATGTGGACCCCCAGGTCCCCACAGCCCCATTCCTTGACCTAAGGTCTCCTCCTCTCCTCCTCCAGCCTGGCTTTGAGCCCCTCACCCACGGGGAGTCCTTCCTGGGGGAGAATCTGCAGGATGGCCGCAGCCCAGCTCCCCTGCTCGGCCGGCTACCTTCAAGGCAGGGGACACGTGCTTCCTTTCCTGGACTCGCTTCTCCAGCCGACCTGCCCCACCCTTGTGAGGAGCCCGAAGTGGTCAAAGTCGGCTGGGTGCTCCTGACCCGTGGGGAGGGGAGTCCTCTGTCCTCCTCCTGGAAAAGGAGAGAAGAGCCCTTCACTCTGACAAGGCCACTTCCCCCACCCCCCCCGTGGTGGACCTGAGCCAGGGGACAAGAGTGGGGATCACCACAGTGGGCTTTGGACGGGCACCTGCCCCCTCCTCTACTCACCCACGTGGTCCTCACGACTCCCTGTTGACGCCCGTATTTCAGAGGAGGAAGCTGAGACACGGGGCCCGGGCGGGCAGCTCCCCGAGATCAGACAGGAAGCGCAGGGCTGGCTCTGCGGCCCACACCTGCGGCCACTCCTGAGCAGCTCCCTGAGCCCTGTGGGCGTCGGGGGGCAGGCAGCCCCTCAAACCTGATGCAGGTCCCCCCCCAGCCCTGCTGTTGGGCTCAGATGGAGAGGGAGTGCCCTGAGTCGGAGCAGGGACAAGTCACCTGTGCAGGGCCGAGAACTGCAGGGGAGGGTCACAGGGCGAGGCCTGCAGCAGGGACACGGGCGGGGAGGAAGGGCTGCAGCCCAGAGTGAGGAGGACAGGGCCCTGGGCAGCACAGCCCTGCGGGGACAGAGGCCAAGTCGAGGATGAGCCGCGGAGTCCAGGGCATTTTACGCAGAGAGGACAGACCCTGAAGACCAGGCCCGGGGGCAGGGGTCAACCAGGATGCCCGGGCTCACAGTAACTGCATCTGTGGGCACCTGAGCCCTGGCCTGGCTTCCTGCCCTCCTGGCAGCTGAGAGTCTTTCGGGGAGTGCAGGGGACATCTGCAGGAGCCTGGGGCGGGGGGGGGCTGGCCCCAAGTTTGGGAGCCCCCTGAAAGGTGGCCTTGTGCAGCAGCCCAGGCCAGCAGGGGACGGGCTCAGGGGGCAGAGCTTCCTGCCTGGCCCCTCCCCAGGGCCCGCAGGCAGCGCTCTGGAATCCCGAGCATCTGGGGAACACACAGCGCTATGGAACATAACCCTGTAATGTGCGACTAATGTTCTGTGGACAGTTACACAGCGGCATCACCGCGGACCTGGTGACAGAGGCGGAAAGCCGCCCCTCCCTGCCTGTCTCCCAGGAAGAGGGGAGGGGCCCTGGCCAGCCCCCGGCCACCTGGAGGGGCCCACCTTCCCAGGAGCCCAGGGGTGAGCCCAGGAACCCGGTGCTGAGACGCAGGGCCCAGCAGCCACAGGCCTCCTGGGTTCTCTTCTGCCCTGCCTCTCCCCGTGGCCTCCATTCTCTGAATGCTCGGCAGACTCCGTCCTGTCTAGCCCTCGCACACTGCGGGAAAGGTGTTTCTCTCCACCATATGACGGAAGAAACACGCCCACAGGAGCAGCCACACATCCGCCTGGAAACGCTCCCTCCTCTCTGACTCACTCCCAAGCTTTCCGTCACTCTGTCAGGACAGGGGACAGGACAGGGGACGAGTCACCAAACCCTTGGAGCCCTTGTTTGCCAGGGCCTCGAAGGGGCTCCTGGTGGGCAGAAGGCTGGGCCTCTCCTGCAGGACGTGGGCTGGCGTGCAGAGATGTATCCCAAGGACCGGCTCCCAAGATGATGGAGGTGGCAAGTCCGAAATCTGCAGGGTGGGTCTCGGGGCTAGGGACCCAGGCAGGGGCGCACTCTGAGTTCCCAGGCTGCACCGACAGAATTCCCCTTGCTCTGGGCAGTCACTCTTTCTTCTCTCCGGGCTTTCAGCTGATGGGATGAGGCCCACCATCCTGTGGAGGGTCATCTGCTTTGCTCACAGTCCACTGATGTGTTAATCTCACCCAAAACCGCACCTCTCCCCAGACAGCCAGAATGATATTTGACCAGAAATCTAGGCACTGTGGCCCAGCCGAGCTGACATAGAATTAACCATGACAAAGGCAAACAGCACCCCATCCCCGGGCAGCTGTTCTGGATAGAGGGCCACCTCCTGCCAACAGCACTGGAGGTCTTTATCGTAGCCTGTGTAGGTGCAAGGTGCGTTCATGGCCATTCAGGGGCTCGTGAGTGAACATGTGACATGCACGCAGCTGTAAAGGGGACCAGTGGCCCAGGTTAGGCCCCTGTGGGGAGAGCCCAGCTGTGGCCAGACCTGAGGACAGAAGGGCCACTCTGCTGACCTATTTAGGAACCAATGTCTACGTGTGTGTGTGTGTGTGATGAGGGGGGTGGTGTGCAACAGAAAGAGACAGCCAGAACTGGATTCAAATCCTGTTCCCGGCTCCTGGTCATAGCCCTCGGCAGAGCAGTGTCCTCAGTGAAGTGGGCATGATGACCCTGGCCGCCTGGACTGCCGGGAGAAGGAAATGCAGTCATGGATGCGGAGCACCCGCCTGGACTCAGCCGCCAACGTGAGCCGCCTTCCCTTCCCTTCCCAGCCTCGCCGAGGAGAGGAGCACGTCGACACAGAGGAGAAACTTAATTAGGATTGGAAAAATGTGAATTCCAAGGCTTATTAAATTCATGATATTTTTACTTACCATGTACCCAGAAATATATTTAGCAAAGCAATTTACACCATCGCTGGCTGATGGATTGTGGTTTTCTAAGTTGGGTTTTAAGATGTAAATGGCTCCAATCAGGGCTGGGCTGGGAGGAAGAGCACTTCCCCACCAGGTCCTGGTCCTGAGCCCCCAGGCCCCCCTGGGCAGCCTCCTAGGTCGACAGATTGCTCCGGGCTCCCACCCTCCCCCAGGCTCTGCTGGGCCCTGCCTTTCCCTTGGAGTCCGCCTGGCTGGGAGAGGGATGGGCAGGGAGCCTGAGGCAGTGTAACAGCCTGATAGCAACCATTTATCAAGTGCTTCCCCTGCCAGGAGCTGGCACCGGGCCACTGTTTACTCCCTGTGCTCCCTGCACCCAGGAGCTAACGGCCTTGGGCACCGGGCAAATAGCTTCACACCTCTCGCTCCAGCTCGCTCTCTGCCTTGGTTTCCTCGTCTGCAAAGTGGAAATAATAATGGCTTATGTTGGAGAAGTGCTAAGCACGATTCCAGCAATTCAGCAAACATCGGAATTGGCCGTCAGCAAGGCTGTGGGAAGGCAGATTACCTGCCCATGGCCCCACAGCCAGGAAGCAGGAGAACCAGGATTCAAAAGCAGCGGAGACAGGGGACAGGGAGGGCAGGCGCATGCATGCCCAGACCAGGCCTCCTTCAGCCCCCAGCGCGGTGGGGAGCAGCCTGGAGGTTAGACTAGACCTGCCCCAGCCCACGCCCACCCCGGAAGCCCAGGCAGGGACCAGCTCCCTCCTCCCGAATGAGCTCCCCCAGAAGGCCACTGCTACACTCCCAAAGCAGTGCCCTGCAGCCTCTGCTTGTCCCTGTCCCCCCTCTGGAGTGCCCTTGCCTGGAACAGGGACTTGCTGCAGCAGGGCAGGCAGCTGGCCTTGAAATTTATTTACTGAAATAATTTGTTTATGAACGGGATTTCAGATGCAAAGCTGAACTCCCTCCCCACTCGGACGAAATCGTGAATTCCAGGCTTGTGAATCGCCCTGCACACACAGTGCCTGGCAGAGGAGCCTGAGGAAGGCTGGCGAGCCTCGGCCTCCTGCCTGCCTCGTCAGGCGCTGGAGAGAGGGTAGGGAGGCTGTGCTGGGTGGCTATGTGGCTATGGCCATGGGAGGGACTCTGGCTGCCTGGCCCCGAACCCTCCGGGAGAGGCTGAGAACCACCCAGAGAACCTTCCTAGGCCTCTGGTGAAGGTCCACCACAGGCCTTGCTGCTTCCTTCCAGAGCTGCTCCCAGGACCCAAGGAAACCTTCCTTGTGCTTCAAAATGGCACTTCCACCAGGAAGTCACCCTGGATTTTCCCACAATTTTATCACAACTGGGGACACCTCTGTCTGTAACTCATGGAGCCTGCAAACCAGAGGCTCCCACAGGCCAGAGACCACGTCTTGTCATTCCCAGCTTCTCCCCGTGTCTGCCTGGCAGTTGGGGTGCTTATCGTAGACGACAGCTGCTCCAGAAGCGCTGGCTGGCTTGGACATGTCCTAAGAGGGGGTCCTTAAAGGCATTCTGACTGGGAAATATGTTTTGTTAAGAACAGATCTAAGTGAAATGAGGAATAAGTGGGAGGGAGGAGCACTGGATAAGGGGTGTGGGAAGGTCCAGAGCCTGCCCGAGACCCTCCTCGACCGCTCCCACCCCTCCCTGCAGGGCTGGCCCAGCAGGTGGGGGTTCCCTCACTGCACCACTGGGTTTCTCCTCTGCAGCTGGCCAGGGCATGTGGCGGACACCTGGCAGGTGACCACAGCTTTGCAAGGGGCTGACTACTCCAGCCCTTGGGCACTGGGCTCTGGGCCTCCAGATGCCCCCAGACGTAAGTGGAGACACACCTGCTGGCACCCAGGAGGCACGGCTGTGGGGTGGGGGGTCCCAGGAACCTGGGCCCCAAATAATGAGGCTGGTCTTTGCCCCGTCCCATTGCAAGTTCAGCTGCCCCAAAGTTACACTCCCTCCAGAAAAGACATGGGCTGTCCTTCCCAGGCCCCGCAAGCATCAAACTAATATGAATAAAGAACACGGAAAACGTTATAATAGTAATGAATGCTGACTGCAGAAAACCTGCAACACGCAGAGAAGCGTACAAAACAAAGCTAAAGTCACGTCCTCCACCACCAGAGGGAAACACTTGATATTTTGGCACAAGAGCATGGAGAGCGGGGCGGGGTGTGTGTGACGTATATGTCACTTATAAAACATGGAGAGGGCCACACTCCGCACACTCTGTGCCTTTCTCTCTCCCTTAATACAATATTCTGAACTTTTTTTCACAAACTAAAGCCTTCAGATCTTTCTAGAGGCTGACTCTCTCCTACTTGCATTTGGTCCTTCAGGGGGCAGAGTCTGACCATCCACACCATGCGCAGGAGAAGCGCCCAGCTAGTAAGAGAAAAGCAAGGGCACGCCCTACCCGGAGCCCACGGCGGACGCTTCTAAGAGGCCAAGCCACTCGCCGTTGATCGACTAGTCCAGGCTTCAGAAGGATGAAGGAGACCCTTCGATTTTAAGCTGCCAATGTCTACAAAGGCCATCCCCTCCCAGGCCCACCCAGGGAAGCCCACCTCCCCCAGGACTGGCATCCTGTGGTTTTGGCCATCGCAGCCCCCAGCTAACCTGCTCCCGCCCAGCCCAGGTCCCTTCCCACTTGGCACTTTGAATCCTTCATCAGCTGCTGGCCTACACTCCTCCCCAGGCTTCCGGAGCTGAGGCCCAGGTGGTCTCCTGTGGAGTCTGCCAGGATGGGACCGAGAGGCCTGGGGACGGTGGGGGGGGACATGGGGGGCAGACAGGGCAGACACTGAGGGCTAATGTGGGACGCAGCTGTCCGAGGTCAAGGGCTGGCAGCCTGCAGGGAGCTTTGGTGGCACAGCCACGCATTCGGAATCCACGAAACCTTCTAACCACTTTCGGTTAGAAGATCTTGTCTTCAGGAGACCTTGTCTCCCTGAGGGACATTTGGCCACGTCTGGAGACACTTTGGTTATCACCCCCCCAGGGAGGGGTTGCTGCTAGCAAATGCATCAACCATTTGTCACTTTGGGTTGTCACTCCTGGAGGAGGCCACAGTGTGGTAGGGACAGCCCTCCACAAAGAATGATGGGCCCCACGTGTGACATTAAGGCACTCTGCTTTCGTTCCTCCTGGGCACAGCAGTGTACACTGAGACCCTTCCAGATTCACAGGTGCAGAATCTCATGGATCCCAAAGACCAGCGTCGTGACGGAGTCTGCACCGCTGGGGACAAGACAGACAGGCGGATGGAGCATGGGAGGAGCAGAATACGGGGTGTGACCGCTGCGAGCACGGGGTGTGAGCAATTTCACGTGTTCCCCCGAAGCTCCACTTAGGGGCGTCTGTGGGGTGACTTTAGGGACTGCAAAGAGTCTGTTCCTTCCTCAGGGTCAGCAAGGCCTCCTCTGCCTACCAGGTAGTAGGCCATTGGTGAACAAGTTGCACTTTGACAACTTGGTGGACTGCAAAGAGGAGGGGACAAGGCATCCTAGAGGCGGAGGCAGCAGGTACACCCTTTGAATATGAGGTTCCTTGTGGAGACCTGCAGCACCCCAAACTCCTGAGTCGACCAAGGTTACCAAACGGCACCTGCTGTTTGTGCACATCTCCTGGACGGCTAGTGGGTTGACTTGGTGGCCTTCTGAGAGTTTGTCCTGTTGAGTTTTCGTATTGGAAGGCCACATCTCCTCATGGAAGGTCAAGGTCAGCCACTGTCACTTGTCCAAGGAGGCAGGGCACCCTCAGCCTGGAACCTGGAACTCAGTAATGAGTCCCTGGCCTTCACCCCGGTCCTACCTGGAGGAGCACAGCAGTGTAGGTGATGGCTCCTGATGACAGCTACCAAGAGGATGTCACCACCTGCCCCATCCTGGGACAAAGGTGAAAGAAGGCCTGAGAGCTTCAGAGGGCGGCCCCCACTGGTCGCCTGGGCGTTTCCTTTGCCAACCCTGAGTGCTGCCCGGAGGGCATTCGGTCCCATGCCCTGCGCGCCCCTGGCCTGGCCAGAGGCTCAGGAGGGGCAGCCTGGAGGCTTGAACGGCAGAACCGACTCAGGAGGTAACTCTCAGGGGTCGAGGAAGGAAGCGGGCTCCTCTCCCCCCTGACATAACATCCTCACCTGCCCACACCTGAGGTCAGGGAAAGGGCGCTGCACTCCAGCCACACCTGAAGTCTTCGTCTTTGGAGATCATTTGATTTTAACCGATAGTCAGTGACCAAGGGAACCGAGTCTGGTGATGACTTCAGGACTAAAGAGAGAGTCCAGGACAGGAGCTAGAGGAAGAGAGTGGAGGGAAAACTTCACCTCTTAGTGATTTCTAAGACCTGGACTTGGGAACAAACAGCAGCTCTGACACGGACCCAGGGACCCCCAGGTGGAGGAGAACAGCCGTTTGGGGGCAGAGATGCAGGTGGAGCGGGCAGAGGGAGCAAGGCCGTTACTCCACAGACCTGTGTCATCTCGCCTCTCTTTTCAAGGACTCTGGCATCTCCTGGAAGCTCCTATCGAAACCCTGGCGTTGGTGTGAGCTAAATCTGCAGAGACTCGGTTATATAATAAGCAATTCGCAAACACCTATCCTACACAGCCCTGCGTCTCACAGCTAGCATTCTGTCTGGCATACAGTAGGCACTTCATATTTGTGTGCTTGAGAGATCGAAGAGAAACTGAGAGATGGTCCCTGTCACCAAGGTGTTTATGACCCAGCGTAGAAGGACAGTTAGGCCAGGGAATAATTCCAGGCAGAACAGAACGAATCCATCTCTGCCCTTCTTTGGTGTCCACCTGCTCAGCTCAAAGTGAGGCATGGCTCCCAGGAGGCCAGAGAGCTTAGAAAATTTCCTCCTTGAGTGGTCCCCATTCACAGGAGGCTCTTTCCCTGCTGAGCCTGCCCACCCTTCCCTTTCCCTTCTGCTGCGCAGAGTCCACAGAGCACCCCGAGCACCATCTCTTCCTGT